GCAATAATAACCTACCTCATGCCCAACAAACTACTCGGGGTTACATGGTCAGTAAAATTGGAAAGAGAGATGCTATTCGGAGACATGTCTCTCCATTAAAATTGTTCTTGTTTTCATTAATTAGAGAAATAAGAAATGTACTCCCTCCGTCCCATGAAATATGAGATATTTTGCTTTTTGAAGAGATTTAAAGAAGTGTATTTTGGTATTGAATTTTCAAAAATGTCTTTTGATGTAATGGTAAAAGTAGGTTTTGATGGGTAGATTATTAGTAAAAAGGTATGATGTGATAGGTAGGGTATGAAAAAGTAAGGGGTAAAAGTGACTTTTTAATAGAAATGAGAAGTGCTTTATGGAACGGATGAAAAAAGAAAGGAGAAATGTTTTATGAGACAGAGGGAGTATATTTATAATTAATTTTCTAATTTTGTTCTTGATGTGATAATTAAAAGTATGATGCGATTCATAGATTATTAGTGAAAAAGAGAATTAGGTACGAAAAACTAAAACTAAAAGTAATTTTTTAATAAAAAGTGAAAATATTCCGATGAAAAAGAAAAACTGAAAGAGAAAAGATTTTGGTAAATGGTGGGAGTATAAATAATTTTGGTGTAATAAATAAAACGACAAACTCTATAAAATCCTACATAACTAGGATTCAAGATTATGTTTATATACATAGAGTTTACCCCTACAAAATTAGTGGAGAATACATAAACAATGAACCATTATGATTACTTGTGTACCAACAAAGCATCTATCTTTAATTTGTTTCAAGGGTGGGGTGCAATTTGTAAGAACCCAAAACAATTAATGTTACTCCATTAGAGTGAAGCTGCATTTTAAGAAGAAAAAAAACTAAGAGAACTCTATCTTACTTACACCAAAGTGTCTCACACAGACAGACACACAGAGGGTGAGGCACTATCGTGTCAAAAATAATGTAAAAAATGAGATTCCTTAACATGATTCTTCGGAGAAATTTATCTCTAATAAATAGGACTTGTTTGGATGAGAATCGAAAATGAGAGGAAAAAAAATTAAAAGGATCAAAATGAGAGTAAAAAAAGGAGAGAATAAAAATAAAATAATTATTGTTAGATGAGTGAGAAATGAAAGGAAAAGTAAGAGAAAGGAAAACTTGAATGTGTCAATGGGCAAATATAAAGAGAAAAGAGTAATTATGACACTTTAACTTCTCTCCTATCCCTTCATTTTCTCACCATCTAGAGAAAATTTTCTTCCTTCCCACTTAGCCCTTTTCTCTTCCCCTTTTCAATCCAAAAGGAGAGAATTTGGACCAAACTCTCTCCATTCAAAAACAGGGTTAACATGGAAGATTCTCCCTATAATACTCCCTTTCTCATGCCAAAGGGCATATGAGGTTTTTGTGGAGATAAAAAAAATTAAATGTGATTGAAAAGATAAAAAAGAGTGTAAAGTGATTGAAAAAGTAAGCAAAAAAATGTGTAAAAGTAATAAAAAAGGAAAAAGTTTAAATTAATAGTAAAACATAGAAAAAATATCAAAATAAAAGCTACATATGTTTATTCCAAAATAAGAATTATAATGTAAATGATGTCTAATATGTCCCTCTTATTTTTAAACTTATATTTTAGGGATAAAAATATGCCACTCTTTTAGTGTCACACTATAAACTTATGTTTTAGTGATAAAAATATGTGTTACTCTTATTTTAATGATAAAGACTATGCTTAATTCTTATTTTGGATGATTAATTTGTTTTAAAGAGGATGAGACTATATAAAAGTATTTGAAAAGATGAAAAAATGATCGAAAAGTAATGGTGTTATATCAAAGTTAGAAGTGTCATGAGACCTCTGTTAGCTTATTCGCGTATAATACGCGTATTATACACCCGTACGTATGATACACGTATTATACTCCCGAATACGAATTTGTAATGGGACGAACGTATAGTATTTTTGGTCCCAAATGTATTTACGAATTTTATACGTATTATATTGCAAAATCATTGGGATCATATTCAGATGAGATCAAATAAATTGATTGTCTTTCTGCAAATACAAATCTTTAAAATTTGGCAACTCAATTATTATAAAAGTGTTAAAAGTCGGATCGTAGTTTAAGTCATCCATCAATATGTTTTGTTAATAAAATGTCACCCACACTCTACCGGTCTCTTCGATTTCGTCCAGCTAAAAGTCCAACATTGCATCTGCACTAGCGAATAGTAGACAACAACATTTTCTCTGTTTGTTTAGATTTTGAAAATGTGGTCAATTTTTTGTATTTAGTTCTTAAGATTAAATATTTATCCATGTTCAAAAATACAAATTTGATTTTATTTGTATGCTCTAAATTTAAAAAATCTAAGTTCGTTACCATATTTTTGTATTCTAAAAATAAAAAATATAGACTAAATTTAATTTTACTCAACTTTAAATTGTGTAAAGCATTATTTAGTAAGTTCATATTTAAATTATAAAGAGACTTAAATCTTTTTTTTAAATTCATGGCAAACATTTAATCAATTTTGTAAAACATAAATTGTCTAATAATATAATTTTTGTCATGTCTTAAATGCTTTATTCATATCTAAATGTTGGCTTCATTTTTCAGAATGTGTTCTTACTTTGAATACATTTTTTGGAAGTACAGAATAATAATTAGATTGAAAAATCTCGTTTGGGTACACATGGAAAAGATGAATAAACAATAAATCGCGGTGTTGCTTAAATTTTTAAAACTTTATAATGTATTTGTATTCAATTTCAAAGTTTAAAATGTGTTTCTTATTAAAAATCTATGCATTCATTATAAGCCGTATTTTTGAAATATCAAACGTATAATATGCGAACGTATCCATATACGTACTCCGAACGTATAAAATGTATAATAAGACATATTTTTAAAAAGTGGTCCGTATTATACACGAACGTACAAATAGACGTATTATACCCGTATCCGAATAAGCTAACAGAGCATGAGACAACCAAAAGAAAGTGTCTGTATTTTCGCAAACAGGTCAAGAGTTCGGAGCTGATTGTTCGATCAATTCCGAGAGGTCCTAAAGAATACTCCCTCCGTCCACAAATAAACGTTCCGTTCACTATTCACAAGGTCAAACTTTATTCACTTTGTTGGCCTATTTTCGTCACTCATTTGATGAAATAATATAGTCATGTCACCTCTAGTTTTGTAGATCTTTTGATATAGTTTTCTAATATGTAATTTTTATTTTTAAAGCTTATACCATTTTTTCATATAAAATGATTTAAAAATAACTTCAGTCAAACATCGTAA